TGTGTGTGTGTTCTTGAATTTCTTTCTTCTGCTATTACAATTGACTCCTCTCCCTTTCTCCCCTAAACAGATTCTATCTAGAGGTGCCTTTTCCTCACAAGAAGGACTGTTTTAGGCCTTGCACTGGAATGCTTAACCATTCCACTGTTTATAGAACAGAATTATTGACAATTTTACTTTCATCTATGATTCTTCAGATAAAACCCTACAGCTTGATGCTAAAGCATTCAGTTTGTTCCACAATACTGCTGGAAATCAGATGCAAAATGCCAAAAACTGTATCTTCAAAACTGGGAGAAAACAGATAAGTAATGTTTAATTTCTGCTGTTGTCAAAGAACTAAGAAAGAACTACTAAGTGTTGCTTAACAGGGTTGTTAAGACATGCATGTGAACTCCCACGTGTACATAAACACAGTGAAACTGGAAATTTAGGATCTTTTCTCAAGTTATGAATCACACACATGCTTGCTTATACACTGTACTCAGGCAAAGAAGCTGATCATGCTAATAATGATTAAGAGTACAATAATGCACACTTTCCTTTACTATATTTTTCTTACAGAAGGGGAGGGAGTGATCGATGGCATAACAACTTGTAACACTGGACCTCCAGAATTTTTGTGACAACAGTGATAGAGGAAGAGAAGAGATGAACAATTATGTTTTTTCTGATAAGAAGTGGGAATGATATTAGGGAAGTGCTGGGGCAGACATTTGGGGCACTAAGCACTAATAAGAATGACACAGGTGATCTGATGGGAAGAATTAACAGCTTCAGAGTAAGGGTGGACATGTTGGTTATGTTGTTCAGAGCTGTTAAAAGCAGCAGTTCAGCAATGTCTGGAGAGGCATAAACTGAACACTCTGGTTTAGAGGAGTATCACAGTAAAGACAGAGCAAGTATGTTTCAAAATATGGAAGAAACTCATAGTGGGTGAAATATATCCCAGCCTTTGAAAACATGAGTAGATAATGTACCTGAGAGCCCAACAAAATATAGTCATTCCTTCTTTGGCTCTAATTTACTTGAGGAAAAGTATAAACAGAAACAAAAGAAAAAACTAGCTGAGAGTTACGAATTAGAGGTACCTGGCTCAAGAGCCGTAACATCAAAGCAAAACACCTTTTGCTCTCCAAAGTTTGGTCATAGGAAAAGGAAAAAACATTCAATTAGAACCACCCAAGGTTAGGTCACCAATATCCACAGCTAAACCAATGCAGGCAAAGATATCTCCTTGTACATCTCTTATGATAAATGACTGTCATGAATGGAATAAGAATGCACCAGTGGGCCTTTCACAGAATGTAAAGTTTGGTATACAAGTATGGTGCAAGTCTGGTAATATATGCTTCGTCCTAGAGTAGAAAGAAAGGCTAGAACTGGATCGTAAAAATTGGGTGGTAGGGTGAATTGGGTTCCATGAAGTTGAGTTTTAAGAATCTCCAGAATGCTTCAATAAATATCAAAGAGTGCTTGAACAATACCTGTATTCTGGAGCAAATACAGGCTATAGGTAAGAAAGCAGAGAGATGATGATGACCGGGCATATTTAGAATAAGATAAATAAAACAAAGAGCTTGATGCATTCTGTCTGGTGGTGATTAATCATACCATCAGAATACATCAACATACTCCTTGTTTTATGACTGAATTAAGGCTTCTTGGCAAAACATTATAAAATTCAGACTTCTATGTGGAAACATAAATGTTCTCAGAACAAAGCAAAAATAAATAAATCAATAAATCCCAGGGATGCCACTAACATCTTGAGGCAAGGACGTTTGAGGATTGGACCACATTTCACGCATTAGAGCAGTGGTTCTTAACCTTGGGTTACTCAGGTGTTTTTGAACTGCAGCTCCCAGAAACCCCAGCCAGCACAGCTGGTGGTGAAGGCTTCTGGGAGTTGCAGTCCAAAAACACCTGAGTAACCCAAGGTTAAGAACCACTGCATTAGAGTACCAAATTTAAGTTGCCATTGTGAACCGTTTGGAATCTGGAAAGGCATTTGTATTTATCTGGAATTCCTACTCTTTGCATACAGCAGGAATGCACTTGTCTTAATTCAATCAGGATAGAACACATGCAGGTCATAAATTCCAATCACAATAAAGGCTGACACATAGTACTACCAGGAGCCTTCTCTTACTCATTCAGGCTTTCCCAGTATGAATTTGTATAATGCAGTGAGGGCATTGGACTACAACTCAGAAGGCTTGGCTTGGAATCCTTACTTGGCCATTGTCAAAGTAAAAAATTTACAGGCCCGAGCAGTACAAATATCTTAATGAGCAGCCATAATGTTCAGGTGTGTTAAAGTGCTGAGTCATAGTGACTCAGGAGGGCTGGCTCAGGGATGATGCAACATCTGTGCTGATTGGACACAGCCAGATGCACAAGTGTATATATGTGGACTGTGTATAGAAGATGTATTCCTTCTCTTCTTGATGAGTTCATGCTGTTGGTCTGTACATCTATAAATACTGCTGTAAATAAACATCTGGTGCTGAAGAAGCTGACTGTGTCTGCGTGAGTCACTTTACCACCAGGACCTGTTGAATTACCGCATGTTTACGGTAACAGCCTTGGAACCCCACAGGGCAAACCACTCCCTTTTACACCTCAGATACCTCAAAAAACTTGCTAGGGCCATCATAAATCAAAACTAGCTTGGCACACGTATGCTAGGATGATGCAAGAGGCAGACAAACAGCAGAATGCACAGGAATAAGTTTCTTAGTAATAAATTATATCGAATGTAGTTCCACCAACTTAGGACAAATATGGCAGAAACTGTTGGTGCTATATTGCTTGTATTTTCTCAGAGAGGGAGAAGAGCTTTTTAAAAACCTTCTCATTTACCATTTATGCCTTTATTAAAGAATTAATGAAAGAAAAAAGTATCATTGTTTGAAA